AAATAGTGGGGCGGGCCCCCTTTGGGGGCGCGGTGCGATACCTGGGGGGGCGCGTGTGATCCTGGGGAACAGGCTTTTTTTTGGCCGAACTAGTATAAAGTGTAATTGCGCACAGTAGGCGGCAGTGGCGCTCTCATTGTTACTTCTGTCACGTTTGCGACAGTGCAACATTTCATGACTTACAAGACAACAGGTTTGCCTTGGTTAGCAGTGTTAAGTCAACAAAAAGCTCCGACTGCGTTCTGTCTATGGCCTCCGTTATTCAACAACCCCCAACATGAAAAAGTTTTTCACAGGGATGAAAAGAAAAGCAGAGAGACAAAGAGACAAAGATAATGAGACAACAGAAGTCAACCGAAAGCTAAGAAGAGGAAATACGACGAAGCGTATTTAGCGCTTGGCTTCACTGTGACTACAGTTGGAGAAGAGGAAAGACCGGTGTGTTTGCTGTGTCTAAAAATGCTCGCAGCGGACAGCATGAGCCAAATAAATTAGCGCGTCACTTAAATACGTTACATCCCAATCACGCCGATAAGCCGCTAGAGTTTTTTCAGCGAAAAAAATGTTAATAAGGAAAAATGTTATGCAGAGATGGATAGTCACGGTGGGAATGGGGGGCGCGAATAGTTTTCTTCTTGCTAGGGGGGGCGTAACGGAAAATAATTGAGAAGCACTGTATTAGGTGAAGATTAATAGGTGCCTGCCATGCAATGCATGGAGGCAGTTACTGACTTGCAAAGCATAAATCTGATAAACTATTTCAATCCATTCATCCACAGTAGTGGGTCCGGTTTCAGCCATTTCCTGGTGATGCATTTCTTACTGCCTGCCAGTATAGCCAGCAGCTTTTTGTCTGAATTGGTCCAGTTGTCCAACCGCAAGTTGCCCAGATACATCGTTTCACGTTTAAATGGAATGTTCACATTAAATATATTTTCAATGTGTTTATGGAGCTCTTCCCAATATGGTCTTATTACCTGGCAGTCCCAAAAAATATGGAAGTGATGGGCAGCATTAAGCCCACAAAGTCTGACTTGCAAAGCAAGTCAGTAACTGCCTCCATGCATTGCTAGGCAGGCCCCAATGAGGAAGTGACTCCTCCTATAATCTGGGACGTATTAAAAGCAGTGATTAGGGGTAAAATTATATCCATAACCTCATATGAGAAGAAAATTAGAGACAAAAAACTCCAGGACTTAGAGGAGGATCTGAAAAAACAACAGAGAGAACATACAGTCTCCCACAGATGACAACATCAAACATAAGATTATACAATTAAAAAAAGAAATAGAAGAGATAAATTCTCAGGAAATCCAAAAAAAGCTTATTTTCACAAAACAGCAGTACTATGAAGCAGGTTTTCTTATAGGTTAAGAAAACAACAGGCCTGCAGAACGATACATAAAATAAGAAACAACGTAACAAAGGAAATAGAAACTAACCCAAAGAGAATCAAAAACTGCTTTCAAAAATACTATAAAACACTATATTTCCAACCACAGACAAGCAGCGACAACCAGATCGATGCCTTCCTGGAAATGATTAATCTTCCAAAGATCACTGATGAACAAAATAAGAAATTAATATCTTAAATTACAACAGAGGAAATTCAATCAGCAATCAAGAGATTGCTGATTGAATTTCCTCTGTAAAAAGGGAAAGTCGTAGGGGACAGATGGATTTACCACAGAATGGTATAAAATTATGCAAGATCAGCTAATTCCAACATTACAGAAAACGTTCAACTGGGTCCTAGAAAAAAAAACGATTCCCCCCTCATGGCAAGAGGCAATAATCTCAGTCATACCCAAGGAAGGGAAAGACAAATTGGAATGTGGGAGTTATCGTCCAATAAGTCTGCTAAATAATGATTATAAACTCTTCACCTCCATATTATCCAAAAGAATAGAAGTTATAATACCACATCTAATACATAAAGACCAGACTGGCTTTGTTAGACAAAGACAGACCCAAGACAACATTAGGAAAACATTACACATTATGAGAGAAGTCACTCAGCAAAAACTAGAGACACTGATATTAAGTTTAGATGCTGAGAAAGCATTCGACTCAGTGAGGTGGGCCTTTTTATATAAAGTACTCGCAAAATTTGGATTTCATGCAGCGATAATTGACACATTTAAATCGTTATATACTAATCCAACGGCTAGAATTAAAATTAATGGATATTTGACCAATTCATTCACTTTGGAAAGAGGAACGAGACAGGGATGTTGTGCGTCGCCGCTCCTCTTTGCCTTGTTTATTGAGCCCATGAGTCAGCTGATCAGGCAAAGGCCGGATATAAAGGGGGTTATAATGACAGCTGGGGAGCAGAAACTATCTTTATTCGCAGACGATTTATTGATGAGTATAACACAGCCCACACAGACAATCCCCAAACTGATGAAGTTACTTGAAGAGTTTAGTTTGATTTCTGGCTACAAAATTAATATAAATAAAACCCAAGTATTAACATTTAATTATGATCCACCGTCTTCTATTAAAACAAAGTACAACTGGAATTGGGGGGCAGAGTCTATCAAGTATTTGGGAGTCTCGCTGCCGAGGGACTTCTCAAAATTATTTGATATAAATTATGGGCCACTAAATTTGAAAATAAAATCAGATCTACATAGATGGAATGTTATTCCCTTTTTAAGTTTAAGCTCCCGGATAGAATCCATCAGGATGAATATCCTCCCACAGTTGCTGTATTTATTTCAATGTTTACCTGTCAGAATCCCATCTAAACAATTTTTAGAATGGGATCGATTAATAGCGAGGTATCTATGGCAGGGTAAAAAGGCCAGAATTAAGTTTAGAACTCTGCAGTTAAAAAAGGAAAAGGGTGGAATGGGCCTTCCCTGCCTACAGGAATATTATCATGCAGCCCAACTGAGACCTTTAGTCTGTTTGTGCTCACCTGCATATACTGCAGCATGGAAGGAAATAGAAGGCACCACAATAAAAGGAATCCCAATAACAGCCCTACTTAGTGATTATAAATTACAGGAAGAACAGCAGATACCAGAAGACTTCATAAGAGGCAGCTTCCTGAAGTCCTGGCAGGAATTGGTTAAAATCTGCAGAATCGGAGACATATCTAAAATTATGAGATGGTGTGCCTATGACTCGGATTTTGCACCAAACAGAACTGATAACAGATTCAAACTATGGACCTTAACAGGACTAACTACATACTATTCATTTTCCCACAAAGAAAAATTTCAGAGTTTTGAAACCTTACAGAAGGATCACGGATTGGGAAAAGATGATTTCTTTAGGTACCTGCAGGTGAGACATTATTTTAATACAAATTTTAAAGAGGGGTTGAGAGAAAGTGATTCCAGTTTCATGGGTGCATTCCTATCACTAATTAAACCTGGGTCAGAAAGCAGAATGATCTCCAAATTATATAACGTTATACAGCTATCTAAACAGGGGAATACAGAATACATAAAGAGGAAATGGGAGAAAGAAATGAAGACAACAGTCTCACAAGAGGACTGGGAGGGAATATGTCAATTGCAATGGGTCTCGACCGGATCAAATACATGGCGGGAGTTTTGCTGGAAAAACATTACACGATTTTTTGTTACACCCATTCAGAGAAGATATCAAAGCAATGGGGACTCCTGCTGGAGACTCTGTGGGCTTAATGGTGCCCATCACTTCCATATTTTTTGGGACTGCCAGGTAATAAGACCATATTGGGAAGAGCTCCATAAACACATTGAAAATATATTTAATGTGAACATTCCATTTAAACGTGAAACGATGTATCTGGGCAACTTGTGGTTGGACAATTGGACCAATTCAGACAAAAAGCTGCTGGCCATCCTACTGGCAGCCAGTAAGAAATGCATCACCAGGAAATGGCTGAAACCGGACTCACCTACTGTGGATGAATGGATTGAAATAGTTTATCAGATTTATGTTATGGAAAGGATTTCTTTCTCCCTTCAACTTGAAAAAGGTAAATTTTATAAGATCTGGACCAAATGGACTGAGTATGTAAAACCAGTCAGATCAGACTTCACTTGATTGTTCTTGTGAATTATGTGTACTACCCTTCGATATTCTTGAGATCTTCTATTGCTTGAAGTGGTGCGATTCCCAATTTTTATTTTTTATTTTTATTTATTTTTTTTTTGTTTTGTGTGCAATTTTGTTCAAATTTATTACTGTTTACAACTAAAACTGTTAAAAAAATACCAGAAAGGCAATATGGACAAAACCACCTGGATTCCATGCTTTCACCACATGTACGACCTCTAATGGGTAATGCTATAATTATTGTATGTGATTGAAACTTGTCTTCTAAATAAAAGAAAAATAATAAAAAAAAAAAAAACAAAGGCTGCAGATGAAGAGTTGATGAGGAAAATGGTTCCAGCTCTGGAAGCAGATTCTCAGAGCTTTGGGAGGATCTGACAGAAACTAGAACTTTTTCTGGAACCAGACGACAAAAACCACATTTTGGTCTCATTTACAAACTCAGAGGAAACTAGAGGGAGGAGGAAGAGGATGATGAAGATCAACACTGTTCACATAGTTTATAATTAATGCAATGATTTATTTTAATGGTCGACATTTTTATTAAACCCAACAATAATTTTATAAAACAGTCAAAGATCCTAAAATCTGAATGATGGAGCAGCGGCTCAATGAGTGAAGAGTTTAAAGTTTAAAAGTTTCTCTGGCTGATTGGATCTTAGAGAAAATAGATTTTCTAGAGTTCAGGGTTTTCTATTCATTTCAACCTGAAAACTGATAAAAAGTTAAATATTTTTAAAATGTTCAAAATGTGTAAAACCAGAAGCTGCATCTGTCCTGGATGAGCTGAATGTTTAGATGTTTGATTGGCTGAAATAATCCAGAGGATGAAGGAAGTAGATAAAGAGCAAAAACATCCAGAATCAACTTGAAGACAGAAGAAGAAACAGGAGGACAATAGAGCTGAATCAGCATCACACAATGAAAACATCTGGACTCACCGAGCCTTTCTGCAGTTCCTCACAGCTGGAACCAGTCTCCGTTGTCCTTTATCTGATGTGTTGTACTTCTTCAGGTCCAACTCATCCAGAACCTCTGACATCTGCAGCATGAAGGCCAGAGCTGAACAGTCAGTCACTGAGAGCTGCTGCCCTGAATCCAGCAGCCGTTGGATCTCCTGATAAAATGAGACGTCGTTCATCTCCACCAGACAGTAGAAGATGTTGATGCTTCTGTCAGGAGAGATTCTATCAGTGTTCATCTTCTTCAGGTTGGTGATGATTCTCTGGATGGTTTCTGGACTGGTCTCTGTCTGACCCAGTAGATCTTCTAAGTCTCTCTGGTTGGACTCCACAGTGAGACCATGAAGGAAGCGGACAAACAGGTCCAGGTGGCCATTTTGACTGCGGAGGGATTTCTCCATGACTTTCTTCATGAACTTCTGCAAAGACATGAAAAACAAATTTTCTCCCAAGAAGGTTTTGATAACTTTTTTTCCCCTCCTGCTGGTGAAGCAGTGGAGCATGTAGACTGCAGCCAGAAACTCCTGGATGCTCAGATGAACAAAGGAGTAGACGGAGACGTCGCGTGTCCCTCTCTCTCTTTTAAACATCTCAGTGAAAACTCCTGAGAACAACGCAGCATCTTGGATGTTGATGCCGCACCGTTTGAGCTCTTTGTCATAGAAGATCAGGTTTCCCTTCAGCAGCTGATCAAAAGCCAGTTTTCCTAGAGACTCAATCAGCTTCCTGTTCTCTGGACTCCAGATAGATTTGCTCTTTTTTCCTCCATCAAACTTTTCCTCCTTGATGTTGAGTAGAACCAGCAGGAACTCTATGTACATCTCAGTCAGAGTCTTGGGTAGTTTCTCTCTCTCTCTGGTCTTCATCACATCCTCCAGAACGTTAGCAGTGATCCAGCAGAAGACGGGGATGTGACACATGATGTGGAGACTTTTGGATTTCTGGATGTGGGAGATGATCCTGCTGGCCTTCTCTTCATCATCTCTGAATCTCTTCCTGAAGTATTCCTCCTTCTGGGGGTCAGTGAACCCTCTGACCTCTGTCACCATGTCAACACACTGAGCAGGGATCTGATTGGCTGCTGCAGGTCGTGTGGTTATCCAGAGGAGAGCAGAGGGAAGCAGTTCCTTCCTGATGAGGTTTGTCAGCAGAACATCCAGTGAGCTGGACTCTGTAACATCAGTCAGGATCAGATTGTTCTTGAAATCCAGATTAAATCGACTTTCATCCAGACCATCAAAGATGAACAGAACCTGGAACGATTCAAAGCTGCTGATTCCTTTGGTTTTAGTGAATCGTTCATGAATCAGTTCTAATAAGCTGAACTTTTCTTCTCTCAGTAAATTCAGTTCTTTGAAGGTGAATGGAAATATGAACTCAATGTTCTGGTTGGTTTTGCCTTCAGCCCATTCCAGAGTGAACTTCTGTGTTAACAGTGTTTTCCCAATGCCAGCCACGCCCATGGTCATCACTGTTCTGATTGGCTGATCTCTTCCAGGTGGGACTTTAAAGATGTCTTCTCTTCTGACTGTTTCTTGATTCCTGGATGCTGTTTCAATCTGTCTGACCTCATGTTCCTGGTTGACCTCTCTAGTTAACCCCTCTGTGATGTAGAGCTCAGTGTAGATCTGGTTCAGACCGGTTTTCTTTCCAAGTTCAGCGACGCCTTCAGAGAGACTCTGGATCTTCATCTTCAGATGGTTTTTAAGCTCCTGTTGACACCGAACATCAAAATCTAAAAAATAAACAAGAGTAGACACTTCAGCTAAACATAATGAAAACAGTTATTTTGATATTCTCAAAGGCGTTTTGTACATAAACCCAAAAGAAGGAAAAATTCAATATTAATAGAAAACTAATATTTTTCTTGTCTAAACAAAGTAATTCCAGCTTCAGTCTTTAAGGAGAAACATTTAGATTAAATTTGAGATTTTGTCTTGAACTTATTGGAGCGACAGATAAAAGAAAAAGTCAATATATGAAAAGTAGAAACTTGATAAAACTGTAAGGTAACAAAAACTTGTTTGTTATTGCGCAACAGCCAGACCCGTCCAAAACCTCACGACTCCTCTGGACTGACTACTGACCAGTTCTCCGTCTGACAGGTCCAGAAAGTCTCTAAACCTGCAGAAGGACTGAGAGGGACAATCTGTCTCAGCTGGTGTTGAGAGACATTCGTCCAGCTCTAATTACCTACAATCCAGAAGTTATGACCCTTTAGAGTTAAGGAGCTATCGGTTGAGGAGAACTCACAGCTGCATAACTCTAATAATCATTTCTGTTAACAAAGCAGAGCTGCTTGTTGTTTTCCAAACATCCAGATCTTCATCACTATTGTGACCTTTGTCTCATCCCCAAGTCCAATGCAGCAATCTAGAGATCTTTAGGGCTGAGTGCAGAACATTGATCAAATCAGGAGCCAGAGTGGATGGGCATCAGGTCCGTCTCTCTTCCAGCGGTGTGAAGGCTTGACTTCCCTCTTGTTACAGGGCGCGGCTCCCTGTTGCTCTCCTGACCTGCTTCTGTCACTCGACACGCTGGAGACGAAGAACCAAATTTCTCCTTTCCTTCAGGTTTTTATTCTCTCTCCCCTCATTGTTGTAAATTGGGAGATGGTGGATGTGACTCCTCCAGCATTCGATTACCTCATGGAAGGTCCCATAACTTCAGTCAACACCCTGTTTGCTTCTGCTTCATGTGTTCATGTCCAGCTTCTGTTCCTGGACTTCCTTATTTGGCACAAAGACCAAGACATGTCCAGACTTGCCTCTGCACCCACAAACTATTCTCTTATTATGTGATTTCAGTCTTTTATATGCCATATGATTACTGTAACTCATCAACACAATTGTCTTTTAATACTTTTCTTCAATCATAACTGCTTTTAATACTCATTAGTTTCAATAATCATGATAAAATCAGATTATTTCATCTTATGGTTCATCATTCAGCTGTTTTGTGACGTCATCAATCATTAACTTCAGAATTGACTCACTTTATAATCGTTAATAAATCAATACAATTGACATTTTTACCATCATCAGTAAATCAGCGTATAGATTACTTCAGTCTCTCAGGCCTGTATGATCTGTTTTCTGTGTGAACCTGAAAGATCTCAACTCCTCAAACCAGTTTCATAAACTAAACCCGGTTCTTGCTGCACAGAGATAATTAAATTAGTTTTGCTCATTCAAATTCTTTCATGGTTTTAGGTTTCAGTTAATTAGACATGTTTCCCACAGAGTGACCTCTGACCTTCAAGCTTGACAATTTTATCAAAGTGTTTAATTTGAAATTGCATTTTTTTTAGGACTTTCTGCAAACTGGAAAGAAAGAATCAAACTGGCCATTTTATTAGGGACACCTGTCCTGTTGCTTGTTAACGGTTGGAGAAGATTGAAAGCAGCAGGAGTGGAGATGAAATTTGTTCCAGCCAGTCCACAACACGAGGAACCATGAAGGGAAACAAGAATAGTTGCAATAATAAACTTTATCTGAGAAACATTTATTCAGAAGTCAAAATAAAATCTGACACTACTCCACTTTAGGTTACATTTTGTGAAAAAGGGAAGTTGTGCTCAAGTTTTTATGTCATTTCTTTTAGTGGTTCTTGCTGCAGCGCCCCTACAGGCGAGGAGGAGAACAGCTTTTTCAACTCATTTGGATCATTTGACTGAGAGCAATAAGAACGAGAACAGCAGCAGCTGAAAATGTAACATTAACATTTTGTTCCCAATCAAGCTGAGTCTCTGGACTATCAGGTGTGAAAAACAGCAGTTGGGTCAAAATTGTAATATTTCCTATTGGACCTAAAGCAAAAGAGATTGTCAGTGTCTCATGGCTCTCTTCTGATTTACAGTCAGAGATTTGAACGTTTTAATCATCTATCCTGTAACAAAGCTGAGACCACTGACCACCTTTCTATGATAATATGCTCATGGTTTTTGTGAAGACTTACATCACTGATTAAATATATTCCATGTTACAGTTTTGAATGAATTGATCTGAAGAACGGGAAGCAATAAAGAGAAACGGAGCTGAGGTTTGCACAAACACAAGAAAGACCAAAATAAATAATATTAGCTTGGTGTGATGTGAATTTGGATTTAAAATAAATCAATAAAGTTTATGCATGGCTGTTGGTTTACATCTTTTGACTGCATTTCCTAAATTCTAAAAGATTTGCACATATAAGAAGATAAAGTGTCAGAATTGATTTATATTTAAATGTCTAGAAAAATAATGAGATGATTTGAGTCTTTGTCATTATGTTTGGCTCAGCAATGATTTTCTGCAAGACAAAATGAAATATTTGGGTTTATTTGAGTTAATCAGAACCAGAACCTGGAGGTTCTCCATTGCTGAGTGTTGCTGCAAACATCAGAGGAGAATTGGCCTCTGATATACTGCAGAGATACATTTATCTATCTTTGTGTCTCACCTGGACCAAAGGGGTCAGAGGACAAACCCAGCTGGTTGGACAGAGTTGGATCCATGTGATGAAGATGTTTGATCATCAACCTGCAGGCTCTCTGTCCTTTCTTTCTCACAGCATCTATGGTGTCGCGGGCCTTGTCTTCTCTGGTTCGGTTCATCTGCAGTATATCTTCTATCTCCGAATGCATAAAGACCCCATCTGCCTCAAGGCCATCAAGGAGCCGTTTCAGGATTTCCTCAGAAACTTTCTCCACAAACTCAGGGCAAACCTTGGAAAGTTTTTTCTCTGCAGGCAAAAACAGAAACAGGATTAATTTACATCTGAGAGACAAACCTGATGAAGATCAACTCTTCCTGTTGCTCCATCCAGAGATTCTCCTCAGAGTCTGTTGATCAGCTCCTCAGGTCTGAACCTGCTGTTGTGTTTCTGCCTCATATCTGAGAGACGACCACTGATTCTGTCTACATGAGAACAAATGAAGCTTCTGTTCATCATTTGTTTCCTCACTGCAGGAAGAACAATAAAACAAACACCTTCTAAATACAGAGCTGAACTATTTCAGGAAAACAGGAAACTCTGATGTTATTGATGAAAATATCGACTGATAAACATTTTCATCATTTTTCTGTCTTTTACTTTCAACAAGTTTTTAATCTCCATATTTAAGCTTTAGCATCTATGTCACCAAATGTTGGGATAAAAGACAGAGCAAGTCTTTGATAATAAATTAGTAATAAATGATGTGATTACTGGATAAATTAATTAGTGTATATAGTAAATATTCCTGAAGTATCAGAGCTGCTGGATGTTCTTCACTTTGGTTCCTTTTAGTTCTGCTTCCATCTGAGTCCAGATTTTATCTTCACTGAACAGGAAGCATGAAAACAATAAATACTCTGAGGCTGAGGTTCACCACATGGCAGCAACACGGGCTGTGATTGGTCCTTTTGTTCCTTCATGAAGGTTCATTTCTGCTTCTGATCACTTACCAAAATCCACTTCCTGCTGGACTTCCTGCTGGACTTCCTGCTGCTGCGCCATCTTTTATCTGGAAAACATGAAGGATTCATTATGTTTCAGACTTTGTCTCATAAATAATTTACTGTGGTATAAATGATAAACTACATGGAAAAATACCAGATTAGAGATGAAAATACTCATTTAAATCACACAATAACACACCACTGAAAAACACAATTTCTTTAATCCTTAAAACTAAAATTTGTCTTTTTGAAAACTGACTTGATTCTTCCAGAACATCTGAAATCAACACTATTGAACCAAATGTTTCTATTTAAGGATGGAAAGCGACTGTGAGTCATTCTAGGATCAGATTTCCTTCAGACTGAAATGAAAACATCTTTAAATCCCGTTTGTTGCCATTGAACAGTAATGTGTTGCTGCCATCACCAGCTGATTAAATGTCCTCCAGAAATGCGTCTGGCCTCCTGCTCAGGCGTTTAGTTTTCAGGTGACCAGTTGTCCTCACCGTCTCTGCCGTCTTCCTCTGAGTGATGATGAGAAGCAGCAGAAATAAAGACACAGAGGGATGAGAGGGACGAATCTGGACTGACAGAGTTTCATCCTGTTGAAACAAACCAAGTTCTGACTGGTTCTGCTGAAGCTGCTGACTGGGACCAAACTGGAGAACTTAGTGGAATTAAAACCTCTACAACCCTAAAGGCGACCCAATCAAAACGACTCACTGTAGATATTTGAAACTTGCTACACAAAGCCTTCAACACAGGAAATAAACTATTGGAGGAGGGTCAAAGGTCATTTTTGACATGTCACATGATGAATTTAGTCCAAGGAATTTAGATGTATTGGCTTCTTACAGCAGGTATTGTTGTTGCGCAACCTCTGCCCCCCTCCTTCACTCTCCTCTCTCAGTCACTACTTCCTCTTCAGAGAGGGAGATGTGCTACCTCTCTCTAACAGGTGAATTGAGTTTTCCTAAATCTGTCCAGAACTGAAGTAAACTCTGTTTTAGCTGCATCCAGAAAGGATTCGCCTGGTTACTGACGGCCTCCATCCAGATGTCTCGTCCTTCTTCCCCCTGTGAATCAGCCAGACTGAGCAGCCAACTGGTTCCACAGAGCACATCTGTTAACGGTCGCTCCTTCTCTTTGTTACAACTTGCACTTGTTACTGAATCAGGTTGGTTTTAGTGACTCTGACGAGTCCCAAGGATGTAGTTTTAGATTTGGGCTAAAGCAACCTATAAAACATGACCTAGTTTTCTTCCCAGAATCAAACATCACAGTTATTTTACTACCATCAAAGAACTTTGAGGTGACTCATTAATTGAATGTCCACATCTTTTACATTTTCTTTAGGCTAAATATTTCATTAATAAAGCAATCTTGCAAGGGTCAGTACAGCTTAATGAAGTAGCAGAAATAATCAAATAAGTTAAATCAATCATCTAGTTTGTCTTTCCCTAACGCTGATACTAAGAACTAAAAAGGGAACCTTTAGAGAGACGGACGATCACACAAGTGACCTCTCAGGTTCAGGTTCTGGTTCTGGTTCCCCAGAACCAGAACCAACAAAGGAGAAGCAGCTTTCAGCATCTATGCACCACAAATCTGGAACAAACTTCCAGAAAACTGTAAAACAGCTGAAATCCAGACTAAAAGTTTTTGCCTGTTTAGAGTTGCCTTTGAAACATAATAACTAGAAAATAAAGTGACTCTTTTCTGTATGACAACTTTTTGTAACTTTTCTTTATTTTTCCACAATAATATAAAGTTGCCTTTTTTTTATTATGTAAAACTTTAAACTGCCCTGTTGCTGTACTATCTTGAACTAATTAACTTGATAACTTTGAGTCGTGCACTCCTCCATGATGCTGTTTTCTGCTCTGAACTGGATCCTGAACTGGATCCTGCTCCAGGTCTGTAGAAACCTCCAGACTGAGGTCAGATGTAGTGAATGAAGGAGTGAACGTTTCCTATGAAGCAGTGAAGTGTTGGTTCTGAACTCAGCGGCTTGTTGCCATGTTGGAGTGGCTCCTGTTAGAGAGCAGCGGTTCTGGAACCGTTCAGGTCCAGATCTGGTTTAGAGGAAGTTGTTCTGCTTAGAGTCAGAAGAAGCAGTAAAAACGTTCAGGCTGAACATCAGCATCACCTGAGGAGCAGACCAGCAGCTGGTACCATGGTAACAGCAGCATGATTTCACAGCAGAACCTCAGAGTACAGAAACTGGACCAGTTAACCCAGAACCAGCAGCACTTCAGCAGGTCCATTAAAACCTGCAGTTTGTATCTGAGAGACTGGAGCTGCTGTTTCTGGAACGTTCTAACTTCTCACCTTCAGATGGACGGAGGACTTCACTCGGGTTCAGATCCCGGGTCACAGCAGGCAGGATGAAGAACCGTCTGATCAGAGAGAAAGAACCACAACAAGAGAATGAAGAACTGAAAAGAAAACATAAGGTTCTGCAGCTCCTGAGCTTCCATCTTTAATCCAAACATCTGGATCAGAACACAGACTTCTCCTTAATTATCAGATTATTGTTGACTTTATTATTATTTCTGCTCTGTTCTGTTCCTGATCACTGACCTCCATCGTGTGTTTCCAGAGAGTCTGGGAGGATCAGGGAGTGGTGACTGAGCTCAGAGCTACAGAATCAGAACCAACAGGTCCATCCAGATTCCAGCAAACAGAACAAACATTTACCTTCCTGCTTCTCTGTCAGCCACTAAACATTTCTGGACAGGTATTTGTTGTTTATCTGATCACCTTCCTCCAGAATCTGCAGCATAAAATGAACTGATTCAACATCAACGACATTCATGTTTGTTTTCCTCCTGCTTTGTTTGCTGCAAACACAATCCAACATGGCCAGACATCGTTCTGGAACAGGAAAATTAAAACCTGTTTACTTGTTGATTATTGTTTACTGCCACAGTGTTATCTGAGGTTTTGACTAATATACGAGTCATCTAGAGACAATTCAACGTTAAAAAGAGCAACAAGAATCCTCCATGATGCTGGGCTCAGGAATCAGATAAATTCACTGTTTTTAAAAACCAAAATACTCAAAATGTGGACATTTAGTTGACTTCAAAACTCTACAAATATTAAATAAAGCAAAACAAAGTTTACAACTGGAAAACATTCAGTGAAAGAGGAGGAAATTAATCTAAGAAACAAATATCTGTAGCTGAAATGAAACAAATGTTTGTTAGAAAGTGAAGCAGATTATTTTTACATCAATTAAAAAAATCTAAAACTCAACACATTTAAACAATATGCTGTCTCATAACATGTACACCTAAATATATTGTAACAGAATAAATTCTTTTTAGACTAATTTACTGTATTCTGCACTAATTATTTGTAAGAAAGGAAAGTTTTACAAAAGTCTGCTCCCTCTGAGCAACTTTTCTTCTTTATTTATTCATATATATATATATATATATATATTATATATATATATATATATATATATATATATATATATATATATATATATGTACACAGAAGTTGGACAGTTTTCAGATGCAGCTGAACATGAAGAGGTGTCAGATTAATTATTTACTGATAAAAGCCTCTCTGAAGACAAGAGAAACATTTCAAAATTCTCCTGGATCAGAACCAGGACTGATTTGAATCCAATGAGAGTAACTTTATCTAGAAATAGTTTTCACCCCCTGTCTTCTGATCAATCAATCAATCAAATTTTATTTGTATAGCACATTTCAGCAGCAAAGCATTTCAAAGTGCTTTACATTGTAAACACAAAAACACAAAGTCATGCAACATATTATAGACAATACATTGTTACATATTACATTTCAAATAAAACTCTAAACAGGCGTGTTTTTAGTTGAGATTTAAAGGAAGTCATGGTTTCTGCTGTTTCACAGTTTTCTAGAAGTTTTCTGAAGCTGTGCATTGACTCTAGATCTATAGCTCTAGATCTATAACTCTAGATCATTCCTCTTTAGGTCCAAAAATAATGACTTCAGTTTTGTTTTTGTTCAGCTGGCGAAAGTTTTGGCACATCCACACATTTATCTGTTCTAAACATTTATTCAGTGATTGGATGGGTTCAGAGTCACCTGGTGACATCATAATGTAGAGCTGTATGTCATCCGCATAGTTGTGGTAGCTAAAATTATTTCCTGTTATAACCTGAGCTAGTGGGAGAATATAAATATTGAATAAGAGGGGTCCTAAGACTGAGAGCTACAGAACCAGGACCAACGGGTCGTTCCAGATTCCTGCAACAGAACAAGTATTTACCTGCTGTTCTAAAGAGGCGGGGCTTAAAAACTAGTTCTGAGCTGCAGTCCTGATGAGGAAGTTGCAGACATGAATCATAATCAGAGACCCACTGGTGTCCCAGTCTGTTTACTGGGAGAGTCTGAGATGATGCTCTTGTGATGTCATCAGAGGCTCGTTATGAAACAACTGAACAGAAACACGGAGCAGGACGTGTTGCTCTGCAGGAGACAGACTAGAATTTATTCACAAAGCTGAGCCAGAATCTATAATTTCATCCTGGAAACCAGTTTTTAATGATTCAGCTCAATTCTTCCTCTAAAACCAGATGTGAGTCTCAGAGGTCGGTTCTGACATCAGGAGGAAGAGCAGCAGAACCAGTAAAGATACTGGAACCAGGTCAGCTCAGCAACAGGAAACTGCAGCTTTAAGAGAGTTTGGTGGTTCTGATCAACAGGAAACCAGAACCCGACCAGAACCACAGCTCCATGAAGTCAGCAGCTTGGTTCTAAAGAAGAACCGGGACAAGTTCTGGTTCCTCCAAAGAGAGAAAACCCAGAGACAGGAAAACAAGAAAATGTGAAAACTCACCTGATCCAGACTCTGCTCTGCTGCGAAATGGAGTCTGAACCAGTTAGTCCTGATCCTGATCCGTACCTGAGGCTCCGCCCCCTTCAAGTTTACTTTTACTTTCATGTTCCTCTTTGTATCACCAGTGAGTTGAGCTGTAAAACTTTAGGTCAGATTTTAACTTTTTCAGGTTTTTCTCAGTTTTCAGCCAACATTTTATTGCAGGAAATTGTTTCAGGAATGAACTAGAAAATTCAGGAGTCTGGGAGTTGTGACTGTAACCGACCTGAGCTGCAGCTGAGGAAGAGGAGGACGATGAAGGTGAAGCTGCCATCCTCACACTTCCTGTTTATCAACCCAAGTACGCCTCGCTGCAGCAAACAGAAAGGGACGGATTCAGCTCTGAGACAACCATTTACAACTACATACTGACACATATGTACAACATTTTAGTTTTTCTAAACACTTTTCTAGAGAAAACATAAAAACTATCAGCAGTTTTCACAGGAAAGTTTTAACACCTACATTAAAACTTAACCTTTGAAATCAAACCATATATTTTTTTACTAAAATATTTTTTTATTGCTCCTTTAACAATAAAACTTAATAAATATCTTGTGAAAAACACTGAGCTAAAGGGCCAGAAAACAAACATGAAGTCCATATAGATGCACATAAATATTGGCTCATTGAAAATGCATTTAAATATATTCTATGTATCATAGCTGAGTCTGATTTGTGGTTCATATTGTAAAAATGGGGAAAAATAGTTTATTTTCATTATTAAACAAATATGCACTTCAAAAATTCCAGTTTAACTTTGTCAAGTAGAGAAATTGGCAACAAAAACAAAAATCAAATCAAACATTCAATTGATTAATGTAGCTACAAACAAAAATGATCTTTGTTACCAGACTTCACTGCTGCATGAGCATGACATAAAACAAAACCATGATAAAATTTTTTAAATCTAAAAATGGATCGTCATGCTGAACTGATCTTGCTTCCATGGCAACATTCAGCAGGACGAGAGCTTGCCTCCTGGACGCCTCCCTGGTGAGGTGTCCCGGGCACGTCCCACTGGGAGGAGGCCCCGGGGAAGACCCAGGACACGCTGGAGGGACTACGTCTCCAGGATGGCCTCAGAACGCCTTGGGATTCCCCCGGAAGAGCTGGAAGCAGTGGCTGGGGAGAGAGCAGTCTGGGCCTCCCTTCTGAAGCTGCTGCTACCCCCGACACGAAGAAAATGGATTTTTTTAGGTTTTTGTAAATGTACTCGTTTTTTAATATGCATCAGATCAGAGAATTAAAATGAGGTTTTTCTGGGGATTAAACAACTCCATTTGGAATAATTTATACTCATAAAATCAGTTTCAGTAGAATTAAAATATTTGACCTTCATGTTTTATCCAGAGGCTTGGCTGTCTTTAGATTGCTTTGGCTCTAACACAATCCTCTAATCCTCACACTCTGAATTACAGTTCAAACAAAACTCTCAATTCATTGCCTGAGGAACTGGCTGAGCGTGACCTCTGACCTCCGTGGTGTGGGTCTTTCCAGAAGATGTCTGTCCGTAAGCGAAGATTGTCCCATTGTATCCACCCAGTACATCTAAAATAAAACAAAGAGGTTGGAAACTTTATGATACAACCCAGAAATTAAGTTCAAAATGATGTTTGGAGGAGGAATGGAATAGAACTAGAACATTTATTCTGAAATGTTGAATAATTCCTCAAAACTGAACTGTATTTACTGCAGACTGCACTCAAAAAACATCAAATATTACCAAGTATTTGATGTTGGTAATATTTCAAATGTATATTAGCAGTTGTAACTGAGTCCAAACTCACCTAAATACACTGAAATCTGACCCTTCAATGTTATTTAACTCCAATATGTTTATGATTTGAAGCTCTCATTGCTTAACTGTAGATTATGAAACTGAACCACATTTAGCCTCATAACATAATGTCACATTGTCATAATAGAAGCTACACGCTTGACCCGCATGCAGATGCTCAAACAGGAGATGCAACTTGGCTCAAATGAATAAAGTTTATTGGATCAACCATAAATGGGAGTCTGTGGTGTGTCTCGGGTCCTTGGGTGAGGCTCACGCTAAATTCAGGGACAGATGAGATAAGAGCAATAATGACGTCTGTTGCGTTTGTGTTTTCTTGATCTGCACTCATCATCACAATGAACCACACTTCTTTTCTTAGATAGCTGTGTTCTTTTATTTGTGGAACGGTCAGGCACAGAGAAAACTTTTCTTCGTCTAATTCTTTTTAGAGCAGTGCTGTATATATATAAAATCTCGCTCTCACTGCCCCCAGTGGACAACAACAGTACAACATGCACATAAACAGAATGACAGGATATAGAACATAAAGGTGTACCTTACAAAGTAAAATCAGTAAACATGAACACATAACACAAGATAACTTAAAGACAGGTTAAGATGAGAACATGTTCCAACAACGTCAAACAAACGGAGTTCAGGAACGAGCTTACTGGTGGAATAAGGAGCCTCCGCTGGGAAGGGGTGACTGGCGGGAGGAGGGGTCCGGACCCGAACCGGGTC